CAAGAACAAAAACTTCACCAGCACCTTCTGGACATCATAGACTACAACTCCCTCACACAAATAACGACAAAGCCCATCAAAGGAGACCACATACTCGACCTGACACTTACAAACAGACCATCAATCATTAACAAGACTGAAACCACACCACCTATAGGTAAATCTGACCTTGACATAATCTACATTGAAATTGACGTTCGACTGAAAAGAATAAGAAGAGAACCTAGAAATATATACCTCTACAACAAAGCTGACTGGAACAACATAAGAAACGACCTCACACTTCTAAACACAAATCTTGACGAACAACCTAACCGAACTGCAGACAATCTTTGGAACATGTTCAAAACAACACTTGATAATTCAGTCACCAAAAATATCCCTCAAAAGCACATCACATACAAATCCAAACTCCCTTGAATAACACATTCTCTCCTTCGACTACTGAGAAAATGTAAACAATTACACAAGAAAAGCAAAACAAAACATGAACTTATACAGAAATACAAATCAGCAAAATCAGAACTACAAAAACAAACACGCAACGCATATCTTAATTACATCCTCGCCTAGCAAAAAATTCAATTGCAAAAAAAACTATTCTCCTACATAAAAACTACAAGAAAAGAAAACAATGACATAACCGCATTACGTAAAGACGGACAGCTAAAAACTGACACTACATGCAAGGCAAACATACTAAACGAACAATTTGAATCTGCCTTCACCACAGAACAAAGACTGCCCCATACCAGACAAAGGACCTTCTCCACACCCTCTCATGCCAGAAATGCACATTACAAAACAAGGCATCTATAAACTACTCAATAACATGAACCCACATAAAGCAACAGGACCTGACAATATACACGGCAGAATACTTAAAGAATTAAGTAACATCACAGCACCCATTCTCACAAAAATCTTCACCCGCTTACTCACTACAGGAACACTACCAGAAGAATGGAAACATGCAAATGTAAACCTGATATACAAAAAAGGAGACGAGTACAACCCAGCAAATTACAGACCAATTTCACTAACCTGCATCACATTTAAACTCATGGAACACACCATAGCAAGCGCCACAATGACACATCTGGAGAACAATAACATATCATATGACCTACAACACGGCTTTAGACACAGCTCACCACATTCGTACATGATCTCGCATCAAACAACAACATCAACAAACAGACAGACATCATCATTATGGACTTTGCCAAAGCTTTCGACAAAGTCCCACACAAACGACTACAGTACAAACTCAAATATTACGGGATAACAGGGAACACACACGCATGGATTGAAGACTTTCTCTCATTCCGCAACCAAACAGTAGTACTCGAGGGCAAACAATCAGACAAAATACAAGTAGCCTCTGGGGTCCCTCAAGGAACCTGTTTGGGCCCCATCCTCTTCCTCATCTACACCAATGACTTCCACGAATACATGAAATACAGCACACTTAGACTATTTGCAGACGACAGCATCATATCCAAGACGATAAACAACAAAGAAGACACACTAAAACTACAACATGACCTTGACGCAGCAGGACAATGGGAGACAGACTGGTTAATGAAATTTCACCCTGACAAATGCAACATACTCAACATTGCACCGAAACACAACAAAATACACCATGACTACAAACTCCACAACCACACATTACACCAAGTAGAATCAAGCAAATACTTATGATTAACATTACAAAATAACCTACGATGGGACAAACATATTAACAACATCACAGCCAATGCCAATAGGTCCTTAGGTTTTCTAAAACGCAATTTAAAAATAAACTCACCACACATCAAAGAACATGCATGCAAAGCACTAGTCGGGCCAAAACTTGAATACTGCTCTTCCATTTGGGATCCACACAACACAAACCAAATAAAAAAAAAGAGCAGCACGCTACGTACAAAACAGATACCACAACACTAGTTCCGTAACAGATATGATCCACACACTGCAATGGCCAACACTACAAACACGGCGCAGCTACACAAGAATTATCCTCTTTTACAAAATCATACACAAAATCGTAGCTTTAAACCCAACTCATATACTCACACCCGTAGACCCTCGCACCAGACATGCACACCCTCACGCATACAAACACATATCTGCTACAAAGGACACCTACAAATAGTCATTCTTTCCACACACAATAACACAATGGAATCACCTTCCCATAGCAGCAGTACAATGCACAACACTAGAGGACTTCAAGGCACACTTACCCTACACAGCCCTTGAACCCCTCATTACACGCTAAACATACGCCAGATTTTATCTTTTTATCTACACCTTGCACAAAATCACAAAAAAACCCACCCTATTCACAGTAAATAATCCCCTTTTTCACGCCTCTTCAACAGGACCCCCCGAGGGCATAAACATCAAATTGATGGAGCCCCCGTACGACAAAGAAGAAGAATCAGGCGTTTGTGACACATCATCTTTTATCGATATAAAAATGCAATAGAATATCTTAATATCTTAAGTTCTGTGATGTTATGATGAAAATGGAACAAAATGATAATACTGCGAAGATAAAAAAAGCCTTCAGGTTAGAATACCAATATGGAACTAGAGTAGGCCAGGGGCTAGTACTACAGTTGTGGGACCGCACAACGCACCAAAAATTGCGTGCGCACAACGTGCATACATCGTTCACACACCGTCCGCACATCGTCCACACATGGTGTGCACAACTGTGCGATTTAGCAATCGTTCGCCCCGTTGTGCGCTTCTCTCCGCACAACTGTGCGATTTGGTATCATTTGTAGATCAAAATTACGGAATGACAAAAATACGGAAGGCTTGTATGCGATAATGTACACTGTGTATATATCTGTAATTTCTCATCACAATAATCAAGATTATACAATTTCACAATGCGTGTTACACAGTATTACAGCGACCGTTAGGCTGTCAAGAATGGGTTTGGCTCCAAGGTAACAGAACAGGTAAATAACAATTTTATGAGTGTCCGGAGTTTTACCTGACCAGTGCCTGACACACAGAGCTGATATGCGATACCGTTTGACCGTAATGAATAGTATTTGTTATTTGCATTCGTTTGCCTATGGCTCCCCTTCACCTGGATTTTCACACCCCCGGCCTTACCCGACGAGTTACGTAAATGCCCCAGGCGGGGAGAAAACTACGGTCCAGGTACATGTACAAAGTGGTTATGTTTACCTGTATACGGGATTGTGTTGTAATTTTACATGTGTCGATTAAGTTTGTTTAGAAACACAGAAAACACAATCCCTAAATATAAGAATATATAGACAGAAAGATAAGTTTATAGATGTTGCTAGAATATAGAAACATACGTAAACATCAAGTTTATATGTTTAAACACGAAACCGTATAAATTGTTAAGGCATTCCTCAATTTACACCAACCACGATTGTTATCGCACAACGTCCGTCCATCGTGCGCAAGCAATGATCGTTCAGCTTTTTATCGTTCGCCCATCGTTTTTAGAATAAATATTGACAGGATCCGTTTCCATTAATAGGATTGTAATACGAACTTTTTCTGTTGATCTCCTACATAATTTTAAGTTATACTTTTGCCTTATATGTCGTTAAATTATCAAGTTACGTAGCAAGTGCAAGCGAAATCTGAATTGACTACCATGCTGGAAACTTCGTCCGTCTTCCGATATAGGTCAGACGTCTAAATATGGGTATCATGACCAAATATGGAAATTGTAGTAAACATGACGGCATCAGTAGTAATGCTATATTTGGCCGTGACGGCCATATAAGGAAAAGGGTAATTGCGATAACATCACGCGTGATCGAACATGGCGGTCGTTTCTGTTTTTAGAGATTTTAGTAAGGATTTGTTATTTCAACGAAGATGTAATATTTTGATAACATTATACTCATATGAGGCGTGAATCATATAATTATATTATTACGGTTAGCACTTTTGATTTTCCTCAGTAAGTTGGAACAGGACCGCTTTATAGCTGACAACACAATATATAAATGTAAGCAGGAACGGAAATGCAAGAGTCACAAATTTTAGCCAATCAGAGGACAGTATTTCCGTGTAATGGGTTAATCCAACGACAGTTCCAAGAGTAAATACGACGTTTTAGAAGGATACTCAGTTCTAACTAAGAATAAGATTATATCCAATGACTTTTGAGTGAACTTGAGTCCATGATAAGGGATTTTATTTGCAGTTTGCTTAGTATTACTGGTAGGTGACGTATGTTTTGTTTATGAATACCCGAGCAGATTAACTGAAGTATTTTACCGGAAGTTGCGTGTAGCATGCATGACCTACAGTCAAGTGGCAGTTCCCTATTGAGATAAACAGGGTGCATTTTCAATAAGAATACGACGTCATAGGTTCTACCAAGGAAAGGAATGATATTTACAAACCATTCAAGTGCATTTGAGTCCAAAGTTACGCATAATAGTACCAGTGGGTACCGCTAGAGCGGCGTATGTGTGGAAACGACATTTATGAATATCTTGAGCTCATTAACTGAAGTAATATCAATAGCTTGCGGCTAACGCCTTAGCTAAAAACAATCCTCAACATAAAATTTATCATTGATATTCACAATCATAAAAGGCAACTGTCATAAATCTAAATTACTTCTGATGACTTTATCACTATCGGTTTTTATGAAGGAGGGTAGTGCCGTAATGCAGTAGTCGTTAGCCATGTTTTTGGTTAAAAATTACAATGACCTTGACCATTGCCAAATCGATAAAAAAAACTATAACGCTCTAAAGTAGTTGGTACCGATGACAGAGACTCGGGAAAGTGTTGACAGAGAGGTGGGCGTTTGTATTGATTGGACAGAAGTTGAATAAGATAAAGCTAATATACAAAACATTTTACTTCATGTTCTAGGTCACTTTAAACCTGGTCAATAGTTACTCACTGAGTTTTAAAAACCACTATTATACGCATAAAACTCACTATTTTATTAATTTGTAACATATCTTTTATTTAAATAGATTTTTCTTTTCCCGCTGCTTATATTTTCCTTTATTTTAAATCTTGTTTAAACCTTTATACAACCATGCTACTGTCCATATTTGATTAGTAAAGGCCTCTTTGTAATCCAGACTCCGTTGTTCAAAGGTTTAACACCTTTCATCCCTGTGACCTTGACAGCTGGACAAGATAATGCATTAAAACAAAATGACAGCTCTCCCTCTTAGCAAACTTAATACGAAATATAACGACTTTAAACTTCTTGGTTACCCAGAAGAAGCACCTTTTCAACACAGTTGACTTCTTTGACCTTGAAAGTTTGTGAGTGTCATTCAATAGAAATAATTTGATAGCTCTCTTTCCAAACATACAACAAATAAAATGTCTTACCTTTACACCTCTTACTCATACAAAAGTCGCTTAACTGTTTAAACGCATTTGACATTTTTACAACTCGATTGACTCTTTGACACTTCAGACCAAATTCAACTACCCATTGTCTCTTGGTTATTCTTAATTAGTCAATCAAATGTTTTAACAAAATTGACTCCTGTGACCTTAATAGTTGTTGAAGGACGTTTGTTCAAAAATTCTCGGTAGCTTTTCAGCCTTGTATTCTACCTAACAACTATCATGACCCTAAGCCGCTTCAGTATTCAGAAGGAGTCATCTAAGTTTGTTTTAAATCGTTTGACCTTATGGCCTTCTAGGGGTCAGATCAGTCGTTTGACCTTATGGCCTTCTAGGGGTCAGATCAGTCGTTTCAACAAATATGGAAGCAATTTAACGCACTTCATCGAAGCCTACTGCTGGCTAAATGTCAGGATCAAGGTCTTTTGGGTATTCCAAAATTGCAGCTTAGATAATTTACCACATTTGACACTTGTGACTTTGTAAGGCACCCAAGGTATACTACTTATTAAGAAGTCGTTTGAAGAAGAAATGCACATGATTGATAAATACACGATCGTGCGTCATACTATGGGACACTTGTACTGCCGGTAGGTGCGCTGAAGATGAATTGTCTTTGTCTTGGGTTTTAAAAACCCGGTCGTCCTTCAGTTAGCTATTTTGCATTTGTGTTACTGTTACAAATATAATAGAAATAACTACTCCGGAGTAGATGGACCATTCATTTTACTCTTTGACATGACGGATGTGTTGATTTTGTTGATCTCACTGAGGAGAGGGAATAGCCTAAACACATCCACCAGCAGACGACTGCCTGTCATTGGGTGGTTCCGGGAGATGGTATGGACGAAGACATCGAGGTAATGAGAGTGTAGCTCTTCCACTGTTTCACGGTTTTCTAGCTCCAATTCATCTTAAACACAACATTTCAACATTTAATATCAAGAAATATTGTTAGCCTTTGATTTTTATTGATTGTCATCCTGCCATTAAATAATATCCAAATAAGTTTTCATCCGTTATTCGAGTTTGATTGATAAGTTTAACTTGACTGGATCGGTAAATAAAAGATTTACAATTATTAAGGTATGATAACTGTTCGGACACATAATTTAGGTACTTGATAAATTCACGAGAACATTAATAAATTACTTTTATTTCTGGTTTAGTCTCGACAGTTAATAGTAAGTATAAGCCATCAATTACCTCCTGTTAATAATTGAACTGCACACAACGCTCCCAGTTCAAAGTCAGATAAGGCCAGTTTGTTGAGTTTTTTGGCAAATAAAAACATTTTATTCACTATACTGGGATTCATGATCGCTGTCATGGTTGCCCTGTTGTAGAAGATACCCTCTCCGATAAGTATATAACACTCTTCATCAATAAAGAACTCGCTGGAAGATATCTGCGATACAAACAATAGTTATAAAGTGATATTATTAATGTAAATATAAACCATTCAACAAATATATACCGGCATTGAAATTGACACGCCATGCCGGTATACTTAATGGGGAAAAAAGATCTGTCATATATCTTTATATAACAAACAAGAGGCCCAATGGGCCTGAATCGCTCACCTGGTATTAATTTCACACTTGTTATCTTAAAAGTGGACTAAAATACAACTACAGGCAGAATATCAGTGTTTGATTAATAAGAAGCTATTAAAACATTAAACATATGACAACCGTGACCTTGAATGTCGAACAAGGACAATAGGTTGAACAGAATGTATAGTCTTCCAACCCAGCATGCTTCTAGCAAAATAGCATTACCCTGGACCTTTTGGTTAACAGAACAAATCATTTAAATATTTAAACATATATTGACCACTGTGACCTTGAATATGGGCGAAGGTTATTCATTTGAACAAACTTGGTACCCCTTCATCGCAACATGTTAATGGCCAAATGTCATCACCATAGGCCTCTTGGTCATTCAAAAGAAGTTGTTTAAATGTTTTCAACATATTTGACCCCAGTGACCTATAAAATGATTCAAGGTCATTCATTTGATCAAACCTGGTAGCCCTTCATTCCAGCATGTTATTGGCCAAATATCATTATCCTAGGCCTCTTGGTTATTCAGAAGAAGTTGTTTAAAAGTTTTATACATATTTGACCTCTGTGATCTTGAATATATATCAAGGTCATTTATTTAAACAAACTTGGTAGCCCTTCATCCCAGCATGTTACTGGTCAACTATCATCACCCTAGGCCTTTTGGTTACTTAGAAGAAGTTGCTGAACGACGGACGACGGACGGACGACGGACGATGGACGGACGACGGACGCCGCACCATGCCATAAGCTCACTTGGCATTTTGGGCCAGGCGAGCTAAAAATAGCGAACCTGTCTCACGCACATAGCTTCTGTTTTGCTTTCCTTGGAGTGATCCCCTGTGTATGTTCCGTATTATATACGAAGTGTTCATTTCTGTGAAATGCCTGTTGTGTTGAATGTTAATTACTTTGTATGACGTGTTTGAGCCATTGTTGAAGTTTGACTCCACATAAATATCCGCTTATGACAAAGCTTGCTTGTCTGCATATGTCATGATATTGAGAAATATGAATGCCTGTGTATGAACCATTATAAAGTTCCCAGTTTATAATTGTCTATCGTGAAATCTAATTCTGAGTTAGTTTTATGTTATTCTAATTCCCATGTATGTCCTATTACCATACATTAGGTGTAGGCTAAGTTACGGTCACATTCCTTGTGTTTGAACATTTGTTGTAATGTTTTCGGCCTGCTTGAAGCCTGATTCATTGTGTATACAATATTGTTGAAGTGTGCTCCCCTTTGATGACGCCTGTTTATCTATGTATGAACCGACTGTTGAAGTGTGCTCCCCTTTGCATGACGCCGGTTGTCTTGCATGAAATATATTGTTAAAGTGTGTTCCCCTTTGATGACGCCTGATTCTCTGTCTATGAAATGTTTGTTGAAGTGTGTTCCCCTTTGATGACGCCTGAATCTCTGTGTATGAAATGTTTGTTGAAGTGTGCTCCCCTTTGTATGACACCTGATTCTCAGTGCATGAAATTTATTGTTGAAGTGTGCTCCCTTTTGATGACGCCTGATTGTCTGTGTATGAAATATATTGTTGAAGTGTGCTCCTCTTTGTACGACGCCTGATTCTCTGTGTATGAAATGTTTGTTGAAGTGTGCTCCCCTTTGTATGACACCTGATTCTCTGTGCATGAAATATATTGTTAAAGTGTGCTCCCTTTTGATGACGCCTGATTCTCTGTCTATGAAATGTTGTTGAAGTGTGCTCCCCTTTGATGACGCCTGATTCTCTGTGTATGAAATATTGTTGAAGTGTGTTCCCTTTTGATGACGCCTGAATCTCTGTGTATGAAATGTTTGTTGAAGTGTGCTCCCCTTTATATGACACCTGATTCTCTGTGCATGAAATATATTGTTGAAGTGTGCTCCCTTTTGATGACGCCTGATTCTCTGTGTATGAAATATATTGTTGAAGTGTGCTCCCCTTTGATGACGCCTGATTCTCTGTGTATGAAATGTTTGTTGAAGTGTGCTCCCCTTTGATGACGCCTGATTTTCTGTGTATGAAATATTGTTGAAGTGTGCTCCCCTTTGTATGACGCCTGTTTGATTCTCTTTTCATGACGCCATTTTTTATTTTCTGTAATTCTCAGGGTTTATCAAATAACACGCGAGAAGAAACAATATTATGACGTCACGAAAAAAACCCAGATGTGACATTAGCTCTGAATAGGAAAAGTCACGAGCAAATTAGGATAAAAAATATAAATGCTGAAAACCATACTTATGACACAAAGTATTTGAAAAAAGTGAGAAAATAATAATCTCTTACCTTGAGTAGGTAATAGGAAAAATCAACAACCCTGGGGTGATTATCTGGTTGTCTAACCCCTTGGCAAAGCCTCGGGGAAGGTAACCAGAAACCACTTACGACGGACAGAAAATGTGATTGGTATTTATTTTCTGTTTTTTTTTAATTGAGTTTATACTTATTGTTGATGTCCAAAAATTTGCAAATATATATTGTCGCGGGGACAAGGGAGGAAACGCTACATATGTTTATAATAAATCTGATAAGTTTATATCTTGTATGCTTCATATATGAGATGTCTGATAGAAAATACATAATGACATCTTATATGATTATTTTTTGCATAAAATATATGATATCCTATATATTTTTCCTTATATGATATCGTCTATTATATACATGTATAAAATATCTGATATATTTTAAAAGTCATCTCCTTTTTTGCGTTGGCTTATACAAATGTATGAACAAATGCCATTATTGTTCCTAACATGTAAAGAGAATCTACTTACCATCCAGACATCTAAGTAGGCACGTAAGACCAACTTCTCCCTATCACCTGCTTCAAGGTTGCTAAATCCAGGCACGCCCGAACAAAAGGCTGAAAGCAATAGCATAACAACTTATAAATGTTTAGCCAACTACATCTGCATACTACCTCAAACAACGTAGCAGATCGGTGTGGCGGCAACATCAATACCAAATCTGCCCTGTAGGTTACTGCATAAGTGGCAATATCTTATCTTGCTTATCTATTTTTTTTATTCCAGTAGATTTGTACGCTTTGACAAGTGAAATATTCAAATAACCATCAAGACTGAAAGGTCATTTATAGACAACGCCCATACATGTAGATCTACTCAAGGTTGCTTTAAAGTGACGAAACCGCACTAGTTCCTATCGGACGCTAAACACCAACGTCAAAAGCTATTGCCCAATAAGACATAAGGCAGGGGAATATGAGTGACAAATGTTTGTTTCATTGCTTTCATGAATCAAAGCAGGAGGCAGATATTCTATTATGAACGAACAAGATGACTCAATACTTTTGCTGGTATAAAAGACGATACTATATCATTGTGCCGGAGTACTTATGTTGTGGACACGTACTGATGTTGTGGACACTTACTAATGTTGTGGACACTTACTGATGTTGTGGACGCTTACTCATGTTGTGGACACTTACTCATGTTGTGTCAGAGTACTAATGTTGTGGACACTTACTGATGTTGTGGACACTTACTAATGTTGTGGACACTTACTGATGTTGTGGACACTTACTGATGTTGTGGACACTTACTGATGTTCCTTTTATTTACTTGTACAAGGGATCCCATTAACATCTTCCACACTTCACTGATATCAGCAGGGTTAGTGAACTTCATAGACACCTGTAATAAAGAAGGTGTAGCACAACAGGTTCGTATAGCACAGCCGGTATTGTGACAAGTATGACGTTTTCATGACTAAGGACGATATGTACTCCTTCACCTTCATCATGCAAAAGTGCACGACCAATTATGGCCGGAACGGTACACATGAACATGTAGTATACAATCTATATTTCAAAAACGTAGAAACTTATCTTTCTAATTCTCCATGCGAATCTGCTTTTATTCCTATTTTACCTTTAGTTTATCGATATAATCTCTGGTAATCTCTTTGTTTTTTCTTGTTTACATTTCAATAGTTATATGTAGCAATGGCATGAAAACTTCTTTCGTCAAAAATGATTGAAATTGCGCAGAACATCAGCTTCCGTTTACTGAATTGATCCTTTTAAAACTTAAAGAAGCCAAACGGGACTTAACATTTTGATTTATAATCGATCCGGAAACATATAAATCTTAATTAGCGCTAAAGGACGATTTGTGACTTTAAATTGAAATACAAAATCATTATTTCACAAACTTAATTAGTGACATCGCTAACATCAATAAAGAAACCATATCTCAGTCATTTATTTGTTACAAATAGGTTCGAATGTAAAAAGGAACTGCACTACTGACTGCTGTGTGGAGAGCGATCAGAGCACTTTGTACCTCGTGCTGAGTAAGCTGGAAATTAAGAGATGTCACATGGAAAACGGGCTGACAACGGACACAAGAACATAGGCTACTACGGACCAGGTAGTCAAACAAGTGTTATCGACTGATGACAACGTAACACACATAACTGCACATTGACTGAAACACATCATTGCTTTTGATATATATATCTACCAAATAATGCGAGCATGATACGTTTTAGTACATGATACGTTTGAGTACATGTCAATTGGGCCAATACGAGCTTTTAGCTCATTTCCCGGCCATCTGGATCAAGGTAAATCAAGGTAAATCATATATATACATATATGCACACGTATATGATGAATTAGTATAAAACATTGCATGCATTAAGTATAAGCCAGAAAGTGAATCTAGCGTGCAAATATCTCCCAATGACATTAACAAGTTTGTGTTATACTTTATGTTACTTACCTTTTTATCGAAGTAATCCTGAATGAGTGCCCTCCTTTCCTTCAATGAAGTATAAAATGTATCTACCGCTACTTTCAGCCTGTCAATTGTGCTTTCCACAAGTCCCAACGTTTCGGTATCCATGACCATCTTTGATATACCCACTGTGTCAGTCTGGTCATACCTACCTAACTTCTTTTCTCCATTTGTGTCCATCTCCTGTAGTTGTCTGTTGTCCTCTTTATTATCACCACCCTCTTTAGTTGACTGGCCGTGCAGTTTTGAACATTCCTCAGAATAAGGCATGGCTATTTGACTGGCGCTTTGATTGTTACTTCCAGAATGACTGTTTTTGTCTCCCCCCCAGTATTCCCGACTAGTGCCAGTATGGTTGTCCTCATCTGTGACCGCTTCTTGCAATGCCTTCTCATCAAAAACCACCCCTTGTTGGATATGTCGTTCAAGCTCTTTGACGCTATCATAATGCTGCTTGCTTACTGACTCTCGTTGGTTCCTATCCTGCATTGCGACCAGGTCGGTTTCCATGCCACTATGTTGTTGACAGTGATATTGGGAAAGTGATGTAGTTTGTGCATATTCTTGTTGTTGACAGAATGGCATCTCATCTAAAGATGCCTGATTCCTGACACAGCCTGTGTCGTTAAGAGGTGATGGAAAACCCTCATTTGCGGTCTGGCAGTTTGTTTTTGTTGTTTTCGTTGCTCCAGCCAGGTTCCAGAAGGGTTGTTTACCTGCATGCAGACATTCTTTGTCTTGCGACATGTCGAACCTGTTATTGAAATGTTGGTCGTCAAACAGCTGACATTTCCCAGCCTGTGAACCATTTCTGTTATCCATAGACATAGTTTGCTTCATGCAATCATCTTTCTGAGCATTGGATACAGTTTTTTCATTTGACCTCCACAACCCTGAAAGGTCTTTGTCAAGGTCAGCGAAATAACCGTTGTCTGCTGTAGGATCTTTATCAAGCTCAAGAAAATAGTTAGTAGGCATTATTTTCTCTTCATACTGTTTTTTGTCCAAACAGGTAGCAATATTGGGTTTTTGATTCATTTGATAATCAAATTTAGCAGAGAAGGCCATTTTCTGGTGTGAAGGTACGGATTGGGTGCCGAAGACGATTTGTTGGAATGGTTTTGAATCGGAGGAACAAAAGTTATGTTGTGATTGTAAGGATGAAGCTGTAGTGAAATTATGTCTTGAAGGTAAAGACGAAGTCGTACAAATTTTCTGTTGTGATGGTAACGATTGAGTTGTAGAGAAATTCGGTAGTGATTGTGTTGATGTAGTGCCGGAGTAATGCTGTCTCTGCTGTGGTGGTAAATCAGCACCTGGGGCTGTGGCAGCTGAATGATTGGAATTGAAATCTCTCAAAGCTTTCTCTTTTTCCAATTTCGGAATTCTTCCCATTTTTACAGCTGCAAAATTAAGACATGTTAAAATTTTGAGATTTCACATTTCCAAATATTTGACACATGGACTAAACTGAATTATGTCGATATTTCTACCATAAGAAACGGAGTTAAACTTTAACCTTTGGTTAAGAACCCTAAGCATTGAACTTACATACTGTAAAATAGCAAAGATAGTTGAAAGAGAACAACACACAAAAACGACACAATTAAAAGAAACAATTAAAATCAGGAAACTCAAAACATGAATAGAGACGAGGGGAGACACAAGCTGAGTCATCTGTATGACCCGATACTGACATAACAGGGGAGGGGCTAGATCTACACCCTACCTGTAACCTATCTGACGCAGTGTGTATACGCTTCCTTAGGATAGGCGAATAACGCCCCCCGGGTCGAGTGACATAAGAATATATACTATTTCGTCACATCATTGACGGGTAAAAATTTCAAATCGTGCACTCAGTCGTAGTTTGACAAAGGGACCAATCAGTCTTGAATTGTTGCGACACGTTTAATACGTACACTGTTTGTGAAGAAAGTAAAACTTTAAGATATATATCCCTTTGTAGACTTTAAACAAACCATATATTTACCATTTATAGGCAAGCTCTGATGTCGGTAAAACAACATATAGTTACCATCGATAGCCTTGTTCTTTTGTCGGTAAAACAACATATACTTAAATCGATAGCCATGATCTTTTGTCGGTAAAACATCATTTACTTACCATCAATAACCAAGCTCTATTGTCAGTAAAACAACATATACTCACCATCAAAGGCAAACTCTGTTGTTTGTACAGTAACATATACTTACAATGTACAATCAATAGCCATGCTCTGTTGTCAGTAAAACAACATTTACTTACCATCAAAAACTAAGCTTTATTGTCGGTAAAATAACATTTACTTACCATCAATAACCAAGCTTTGTTGTCAGTAAAACAACATATAATTACATTTAATAGAAAAGCTTTGTTGTCAGTAAAACAACATATACTTACCATCAATAGCCAAGCTTTGTTGTCAGTAAAACAACATATACTTACCATCAATAGCCAAGCTTTGTTGTCAGTAAAACAACATATACCGTCAATCAATAGCCAAGCTTTGTTGTCAGTAAAACAACATATACTTACCATCAATAGCCAAGCTTTGTTGTCAGTAAAACAACATATACTTACCATCAATAGCCAAGATCTGTTGTCAGAAAAGCAACATATACTTACAATCAATAGCCAAGCTTTGTTGTCAGTAAAACAACATATACTCAATATCAATAGCCAAACTCTTTTGTCAGTAAAACAACATATACTAACAATCAATAGCCAAGGTTTGTAGTCAGTAAAACGACATATACTTACAATCAATAGCCAAGTTTGTGGTCAGTAAACGACATATACTTACAATCAATAGCCAAGTTTGTGGTCAGTAAAACGACATATACTAGCAATCAATAGCCAAGTTTGTGGTCAGTAAAACGACATTTACTAACAATCAATAGCCGAGTTTGTGGTCAGTTAAACGACATATACTAACAATCAATAGCCAAGTTTGTTGTCGGAAAACGACATATACTAACAATCAATAGCCGAGTTTGTTGTTGGTAAAGTAACATAAACTTACAATCAATAGCCAAGTTTGTTGTTGGTAAAGTAACATATACTTACAATCAATACCAATGCCATGTTGTTGGTAAAACAATGTAAATATCTACAATCGATAGCCAAGCTCTGTTGTTGGTAAAACACTATAAACTTACCATCGATAGCCATTCCCTGCTTCATGCACATTTGGAATCTACATGCCTTACATCGACTCCTATTCTGTGGTGTCAACACACATGAACCGCCAAAGAAACACTTGTACTTTTCTTCTCTCATAGTGCTCCTCTTAAAGAATCCCTACAAAATATCCAATATATAGATTTGTGTTTTGCGAGTACGGTAACAATTTGAAAGATACAATGTGTAAGACAATGGGGAGTGTTTGTAACTGCTACTATGTTTACTGACATATTGTCTCCATGTGTAAGAGTAAGAGTTTATTGGCTAATAAAAAAAGCAGTTCGTTAGATGGCTAGGTGTATATAAATAGAGGTTCCGTCAGATGAAAGGCTCTCTCTTACTCTGGCGTTCGACGTGGAAAGAACACCTCTAGAAAGGTAAACAGTGACCAAGCTGAATTAGTTCTGGGCCGGCCTCCTTTATAGTTTATTGTCAATATAAATTGTATCACTAGGCAGTGTACATAGTCACAGGGTGTCACAGTACAGGGCGACGTACTGTTGATAGATACAGAGTGACAGCTACCAAGACACAGGTTTTACCAAGACTTCAGGATTTACCAAGGCACAGGTTTCAGTGTCTAGGGTGACTTGGTCAAAAGGTAGTCGCGGTAAAGGGTGACGTGGTCAAGGTGTGTCGCGGTAAAGGGTGACGTGGTCAATGTGTGTCGCGTTAAAGGGTGACGTGGTCAAGGTGTGTCGCGGTAGAGGATGACGTGGCCAAGGTAGTCGCGGTAAAGGGTGACGAGGTCAAGCTAGTCGCGGTAAAAGGGTGACGTGGTGATGGTGTGTCGCGGTAAAGGGTGATGAGGTCAAGGCGTGTCACGGTAAAAGATGACGTGGTCAAGATATGTCGCGGTATAGGATGACGTGGTCAAGGTGTGTCGCGGTAAAGGGTGACGTGGTCAAGGAATGTCGCGGTATAGGGTGACGTGGTCAAGGTGTGTCGCGGTAAAGGGTAACGTGGTTGAGATGTGTCACTGTAAAGGGTGACGTGGTCAAGGTATGTCGCGGTATAGGATGACGGGGTCAAGGTGTGTCGCGGTAAAGGGTGACGTGGTTAAGGTATGTCGCGGTATAGGGTGACGTGGTCAAGGAGTGTCGCGGTAAAGGGTGACGTAGTCAAGGAAGTCGCGGTAAAGGGTGGCGTGGTCAAGGAGGTGTGTCGCGGTAAAGGGTGATGTGGTCAAGGAAGTCACGGTATAGGGTGACGTGGTCAAAGTGTGTCGCGGTAAAGGGTGACGTGGTCAAGGAGGTGTGTCGCGGTAAAGGGTGATGTGGTCAAGGAAGTCACGGTATAGGGTGATGTGGTCAAGGTGTGTCGGGGTAAAGGGTGACGAGGTATAGGTGTGTCGCGGTAAAGGGTGACGTGGTAAAGGTGTGTCGCGATAAAGGATGACGTGGCCAATGTAGTGGCGGTAAAGGGTGACGTGGTAAAGGTGTGTCGCGGTAAAGGGTGACGAGGTCAAGGTAGCCATGGTATAGGATGACGTGGTAAAGGTGTGTCGCGGTAAAGGGTGACGAGGTCAATGAAGTGGCGGTAAAGGGTGACGTGGTTGAGATGTGTCGCGGTAAAGGGTGACGTGGTCAAGGTATGTCGCGGTATAGGGTGACGTGGTAAAGGTGTGTCGCGGTAAAGGGTGACGAGGTCAAGGTAGTCGCGGTAAAGGGTGACGTGGTCAAGGAGGTGTTTCGCGGTAAAGGGTGATGTGGTCAAGGAAGTCACGGTATAGGGTGATGTGGTCAAGGTGTGTCGCGATAAAGGGTGACGAGGTCAAGGTGTGTCGCGGTAAAGGGTGATGAGGTCAAGGTGTGTCACGGTAAAGGATGGCGTGGTCAAGGTGTGTCGCGGTAAAGGGTGACGAGGTCAAGGTGTGTCGTGGTAAAGGGTGACGTGGTTGAGATGTGTCGCGGTAAAGGGTGACGTGGTCAAGGTATGTCGCGGTATAGAATGACGTGGTCAAGGTGTGTCGCGGTAAAGGGTGACGTGGTTGAGATGTGTCGCGGTAAAGGGTGACGTGGTTAAGGTATGTCGCGGTATAGGGTGACGTGGTCAAGGTGTGTCGCGGTAAAGGGTAACGTGGTTGAGATGTGTCGCGGCAAAGGGTGACGTGGTCAAGGTATGTCGCGGTATAGGATGACGTGGTCAAGGTGTGTCGCGGTATAGGGTGACGAGGTCAATGTTTGTCGCGGTAAAGGGTGACGAAGTCAAGGAAGTCGCGGTAAAGGGTGGCGTGGTCAAGGAGGTGTGTCGCGGTAAAGGGTCAAGGTGTGTCGCGGTAAAGGGTGGCGTGGTCAAGGAGGTGTGTCGCGGGAAAGGGTGACGTGGTCAAGGAGGTGTGTCGCGGTAAAGGGTGACGTGGTCAAGGAGGTGTGTCGCGGTAAAGGGTGACGTGGTCAAGGTGTGTCGTGATAAAGGGTGACGTGGTCAATGTAGCGCTGTAAAGGGTGACGTAGTCAAGGAGGTGTGTCGCGGTAAAGGGTGATGTGGTCAAGGAAGTCACGGTATAGGGTGATGTGGTCAAGGTGTGTCGCGGTAAAGGGTGACGTGGTCAATGTGTGTCGCGGTAAAGGGTGACGAGGTCAATGTGTGTCGTGGTAAAGGATGACGTGGCCAATGTAGTGGCGGTAAAGGGTGACGAGGTCAAGGTAGTCGTGGTATAGGATGACGTGGTCAATGTGTGTCGCGGTAAAGGGTGTACACAGTCACGGGTTTTGCAGTAAGGGGTTATTTACTGTTGATACAGGGTGATAGATATATTGTTATACAGGCCTTAGTTGGCTTTTTGGCTATATTAGTGCTTGAGATATATTGTAATAAATGTAAAATATCTACCGGGTGCAGTTTAGGCAGTAGTTCATTAGGTTATAGGTATTTGAGTAAGATAGACGACCATTATTTTGTATATATTGTCGGCATTTATTTGTTACAGTAGTTACTAGATCCAATATAGAACTTGGTAACGAACTGTAGGCACGCATCCGTTACATATATATATTGGTGGCACCAAACGTCCTGTTGACGAACTTGACGACGTAACCATAGGGTAAAGAAGATAGGTATATTCCTACTGAGGAAAGGAGAGTAACCATTTAAGAAGTCGTCACGTTTATCGAGTATTTTAGCGTTGAGATTATTTTCATACTGTGAGTACATGTGAGAGCAGGTTAAGATGAAGGACTGGAGTAATCGTCTGGATTTCAGAAATCAAGTCAAAAATATAAACAACCTCAAAAGTCAAGTTAAAAACATTTACTAGAAGAGTTGAAAAAATAGTTTTAAACGAGTTTTTGTATTTCTAGTTACGGCTGTTACATCGCCTTATACCATTTAAGTTTCGCTATGTCTTATACAGCCATTCCGGGGTGCTCGTATCCAAACTACGAACGGTAAATCTTTACAACATACCTTTAAAGTTCGGGATGCTACCATGTTTGTGTACGTAACAAAAGCCGTTTCCCCTCAGGTATAGTAGTCGACCTGACCCAATGTGTACACATTGTGTAGTTTGGACCAAATGCACTATGCTTTTTAGGGTTGAAGCTAATTTGACTAGTTTCTTTGCCACAGTCAGTCGTGCCGACTAATCGGTTCGTCGTGACAGACAGACTGTCGGGGAATAGCAACACGTTAGACGTAGTCTCTGTATGCAGTCATCTGTACATTTAAATAAATTACACTTGTATGAACGTAATTCAACATTTTATCACATTTATAATTGGATTTGCGAAAATATTTAATTACAAGTGAAAGGGAATTTGAATACTTAAAACCAGTTTAAGAAACTATCAAATCGATAAAGATTCCTTATATATGTTTATTATGCATTTCGCAAATTCCTTTTTTCATTTTGTTTCGTCATCGTTTACGTATTGTTGTTTGTAGTCTGATTAAAATCAGCCGGTCTACTTATAAAACCTAAAACATCAGGATTTTTTTCATATCCGTCCGATGTATTAGTAGAATTTCATGGAAGTTTTTTTATGAGACTTTTCTCAACATATCAATTTGTAGGATCAATGCACATTTCTGTTGAACATCTGAGTTTACTAAAAGACTGAAGTGCAATAGCAATGCGTCTAACGTTTTTCAGTTCATCAACAACATGTCCCTTTGTCATGACCAACCGATTAGTCAGCACGACTGACTGTGTCAATGATCAAAGAAACTAAAAAAAAATAGCCTCAACCCTGAAATGCATAATGCATTTGGTTCAAACAACACAATATATTTACATTTGCATGGCATTGTCACTATATAGCCTCTTTGAAAGCTGTGTCGTTGATGGGATTTTAATTACCATGCAGCACGAGACAATTCTTAGCGTATTAATAAATAACACTGACCGGAACTACAATATCATTGTAAATTTATGTGCAAAATAAAAAATGAAATATAAAATACTTTTATTACAACAAAAACAAGACCAATGTCTGCAATATCGTACAAAATGCACATCGGTTGAAATCACCAATGCCGGCAATGGAAACAATTTTAACGCTCATGCAATTTATCAGAAATATCGTCTGTTACACTGCACTGATCAACAGGGGTTCGTTACAAATGTCTGAAATACACATATTCTATAGACCTACTAACACATATGTTACAGACCTACTGATATGAGTCATAATTCATAAACATTTCAGACATTTGTAACGAACCCCTGTGCTCCGTCGCAAGATAACTAACTTCAAACACTATCAGTTTCACGCGTCTCGCAGCCACGGTTTCTTCAGTTGCTGACGACATGTCAAATAACGAGGTTGTTATAGAATCTACCGGCTGTAGTCAGATTCCCATACAATCAACAAATAAATTCACGTCTGGATTCTTCACAAAATGAGCAAAGAGAAAAGTTTGAATTAACTTCCAAAAATAACTCCCTCGTGGAGGTCAAGGTCGGATTTACAGTGTTCACTGTATTTATCCATGCGCGAAATTTGATCCGGGGAAAAATCGAAAAAAATTCAAATCTAACTTTCAGCTCAGAGTGCTATTGATAAACTTAAATTACCCTACAAACATATCATACGCAATTGTATTGATACTGAACTGTGGAATAAAATTGAAGTGTTTGTTAAAATGTCAAAGTACTACTTTGTTTACCAATCAGC